CGCGCCGCTTCTTCATCTTGCGCACGACAGCCACAATGTGGCTCATCATGCCCAGGTCCGCCTGGTGCATGATGTCAGGCATGATAACGAGGTAGGGATTGCCCCACACGGTCCCTGGGACATCCCATTTCCAGAGCACACACTGGCGGAGGGGGTGTGGTGGGGAATGGTAGAGAAAGGTATATGAGAGACTCGGCCAACATGTGGGGCAGTGCAATGGCAGTGCACATCTCCCCCAGGGCTTCTCAACACGGAGTGCTTAGACAGGAAAGTAGCGCGGTGGACAGGTCGCTCACCTCAACCGGGTAGGTCGAGTAGGTCTTGCATGGGTCGGCCTGGCTTGATGTCAATCCAGCCGCCTCATTCACGATCCATTGCTGCTGTTCAGGCGTGCGCGGCGTGTTCCGTGCCTTGACAGCAACTAAATGCTCCTGGTGTAGCACGGGGGGTGGGATGGGATGAACTGGTAAGGGTGAAAAAATTAGGAGGTCCGTCATGTGACAGTCAGATGACGATGGCGATGAAGGCGTTCACATGGCATGTTTGCTCACCTTTGCAGCATAGCAGATGCTGCACGGCATCCGCGATCCATGCGAGAGTGTGCAACTAATCTTGCCGCTCTCGGGGTAGTCGCACACCCAGGCGTACAGCAGTGGCCGCACTGTTTGCCAATCACCGAAAGGGTCCCTGAGACGGAAGCCACTGCAAGGAACGGGTAGAGTGGTAACGTCAACAGCCATGACGACTCTGTGCATCAGCGAGGAGGGGCAAAGGGTAATGCAACATACAAAAGCGCTGCGCACACTATGCTGTGCACACGGTGACGACATAGCATGACGGAAATCGAGTACGGACCTGTCCATGCCATCCAGAAGCGGCTGCAGCACGGTGAGGACGCATCGCTGGAAGAGCATCACCTTTTCAACAGCAGACATTGCCGAAGGGGGGATAGGAAGGAGAGCAAGTAGCGTGTGCCCGGCTTTCCCCCATCGCTTGGCCTGGGAGATGTTGGGAAGCGTCATCATGAGCGGCCACGCCTTCTTCCGGCCGTTGTTGCTCATGTGCGTCACATCCGAATATAGGATGATACCCCCCACGACTTCGAACCATCCGAAGTGTTCCTGCATGCACGACAAAGACGGAAAACCCCCACGGTCAAACACCACCAAGGTAATGTGTCGCCTGGCGGAGTAAGCATGGTACATAACACTCCCCACTAACATGACGCACTGAAGATGCTCCCTACACATCAGCGCGTCAACGGAGGACGGCGCACGCGTGTGGTTTTGGGTGGCAGCGGGGTATTTACATACCTGAGCATCGTTCCACCACGTTCCAGTTTCTGGCGTGGTATAGCGACGCTCGCCTGTGCCATGGTCCTCATCGACACGAGCCTTGAGCTTGAAGCCGGGCGCGTTGTTGGTGTGCCCAAACAGTTCAGCAAAAGCCTGGAGTACGGCATCAAGAGCGGGGGAGAACCAAACAGGGGTTTAGTGGCGGGAGCGGGGAAGGGTCGGATCGCACACATGGACCAAATGGAGGCGGAATCTGCATTTCGCAGCCACGCATCCACGGCCGGCTTACCTGCGCAGAGTTCTGGAAGAGGAGGAGTTGTGGAGGATGACCCTCAATCTCGAAGGTCGCCACTGACCATCCGCGATTGAGCCCTACCAAGCGCTCCATCTCGAACCTCTCCAGATCCTTGCAGTTCCGGATCTCTGAGATCACAAGAGGCGCAAGGCCGGGCTCCACCACGAGCTGAAGCAGGCCATTGATGTCGATCTCCGCCATGCCCATTCCGCCATTTACACGCCTCACGAAGTGCAGCAGCTTCAACGTAATTGGATTGAGGGGCGTTGCATTGCTCTCCCCGGAGATGATTCTCGGCGGGGCCGCGTGACTCACTCCAGGTCGGCACCCCGGATCCGCACTCGTGTCATCTGAAGGCGTTCCGGGTGGCGGTTGATGCTCAGATTCAGAAGCCCCCACGTTCCCAGCCGAGGGTGTTGCGTCATCTTCAGCTTCATGCACGCGAGGAGGACCATTCACAGCGTCGGTGTTGGACGCATTAGACGCGGTAGGTGAAGCGGGAGCAGCGGGAGCGTCCGACAGAATCTCTTGCACGAATAGCAGTGTGTGTAGTCCGGCGGATGGTGCAGATTGCGAGGGCCTTGCCAGGGCGGAAAGGCCTTGGCAAGGGGTCCGCCGTGACTTATGACCGCCATAAACTTGGGCGTTGGGGAACCATCTATTGCAAAACTCGCAGATGACGCCAGGTAAGGAGCCCATGCGGTACGGATCTGTCTAAGTGTTGAGGAATGGCTTGTGAAGCAACGAGCGTCGTGGGAAGCTTGAGAAGGCATTAAGTACTCCGTGCAAGAAGGCTGGTAATGCAACACGGTCATCGCCAAACCGCGCACTGTTCAAGGCGGCTTGTATCACTGCACGACTGGCACTTGAGCGGGCAGCTTATGTTTGGACGTGCCTAACGATGTGCGCGCCGCGCGGTCGTGACAAGGCACATGGAGCAGCGGAGAATGCGCTTGATTCTAAGACGGTAGGTCTTGTGTGTGCGTTGCGAGCTCGGTGAGAAGGACGTGCCTGTGGATTCACGCACTCTTGGTGCGTGAGAGTCGAGTGGGATGAGGAAGAGCGGGAAGAGATCCGTTTGGATCTGTAGTTCAGTTGCGAATTGTTATACGGGGGAGATCGCGCTCACGTTAGTGAGCTCACAGTGGTGAGCTCGACAACGGACAAAATACAGCGCAGGATATTACATTGTACAATTGCATTTAATCTATACACTAAACTCGTTGATGATAACTACTACACGGTCACATGAAAATGCCTGCTCGAGATCCACCCCTAGTTGACAGCGTGACATTCTAAAAACCATACAAGATCTCTAGTGTGGTCTGGCAACATACGGGAAGTACACAAGAACTTCGTGCCCTCACGATAACGCATCGCCGATTGTGCGTTGTGGCTCTACTTCATACCCCTTTGAGGCACCTACTTGAATGTCCGTGCAAGGTTAGATGACAATCCAACACCGTACCACAACGGATTCGCCTGGTCGCGCAAGCCTTGTATGGATGCGAACGCAGCACCGTCTCCAAACTAAACAGCGATGTCGATTGCGCATCAACGCTCGTGCGTTGGGCCTGTGCTTCATCCCACACCCTCAATGCACCTGGCGGAGGGCCCATGCAAGAATGAAGCCCCATCCAACACCATTCCACAACGGATTCGCCTGGTCGCGCAAGCCTTGTATGGATGCGAACGCAGCAACGTCGCCAAACTAAACAGCGATGTCGATTGCGCATCAACGCTCGTGCGTTGGGCCTGTGCTTCATCCCACACTCTCAATGCACCTGGCGGAGGGGCCATGCAAGAATGGAGCCCCATCCAACACCATTCCACAACGGATTCGCCTGGTCGCGCAAGCATTGTATGGATGCGAACGCAGCAACGTCGCCAAACTAAACAGCGATGTCGATTGCGCATCAACGCTCGTGCGTTGGGCCTGTGCTTCATCCCACACTCTCAATGCACCTGGCGGAGGGGCCATGCAAGAATGGAGCCCCATCCAACACCATTCCACAACGGATTCGCCTGGTCGCGCAAGCATTGTATGGATGCGAACGCAGCAACGTCGCCAAACTAAACAGCGATGTCGATTGCGCATCAACGCTCGTGCGTTGGGCCTGTGCTTCATCCCACACTCTCAATGCACCTGGCGGAGGGGCCATGCAAGAATGGAGCCCCATCCAACACCATTCCACAACGGATTCGCCTGGTCGCGCAAGCATTGTATGGATGCGAACGCAGCAACGTCGCCAAACTAAACAGCGATGTCGATTGCGCATCAACGCTCGTGCGTTGGGCCTGTGCTTCATCCCACACCCTCAATGCACCTGGCGGAGGGCCCATGCAAGAATGGAGCCCCATCCAACACCATTCCACAACGGATTCGCCTGGTCGCGCAAGCATTGTATGGATGCGAACGCAGCAACGTCGCCAAACTAAACAGCGATGTCGATTGCGCATCAACGCTCGTGCGTTGGGCCTGTGCTTCATCCCACACCCTCAATTCACCATGTCGAGGGCCCACGCAAGAATGGAGCCCAAGCCAACACCACACTACATCTCCATTCCAGTTGGCACTAGTACACGTCGTGCTTGAACAACTTCCAACGACCAGTATCCGTCGCCCATTCTCAATGTGTGCTCAGTATAGCATTCCATAGTCCACGAGTTGGAAGCACAAAGAGTGCGTCCTAAGCCCCATGCACTCACTAAACTTCACACCATATGACACCATAAACGGCTATTCACTTCAAATTGTCTTAGTTGTACTTTGATCATTGCACTAGGCACTGTATTTTGCAGGATGTGATGATTGGTGGTGTCGAAACGGTACTAGATTCCGTGGAGATTGATGCGTTGGCGCTGATTGGCCGACGCATCTCAAACGACCCTCCCCACTACCGCACCAGCCAAGCTGGACATTCGCCGCGGAAGCAGCGACTGTGATCAAGTGTGTAGTGCGTTTCTGATCGGGAGGCAAATCGTAGACCGTCCAATGGTGCGTGTTCTGCTTACAGTCCTCTCGATAGACTCGCAAACCACCCCAACTACCGTCGTGCCCCACTCACCAGCTTCCGTCACCCTCATACCCACTACCTTGACGCCGCTCGCTGCTGAACACAGGAGTTTCCAAATCGCCAGTTAGACGGAGTAGCGACGAAGGAAAGGGCTGACGCCATATGCTTAGTAGCTACTAATTCAGGCGTAATTGTACCTTCCGATTTAGGGTGAAAAAGTATTGGCTTCACCGGGACGGGGTCAAATAGCAACAAACCTTTCCGGTTTTTTTTTTAAAACTCAGCTACCCAATCCCGCAATTTAAAACTTGCATTCGTACCACCCTCATGACACCTGCTACTCGGCAAACAGAAAAGCAGAAGGAGGAGGTGAAACGACGCACGACACGAAGGATGTCGCATCAGACCGACCAAGAGGGTGGGGCCAGATCTAGGGCTACTAAAAAGGCCGCCGCGCAAACCAATCAAACGAAACGTGCGGCGGGGAAAAAGGCTGAGGTGGGAAAGCAGAAGCCCGGGAAGAAGGCAGAGGACAAGGGGAAGCAACCAACGGCACGCAAGCGTGTTTCGGCCGTCAGGAGCGATGCGGATGTTGCCACTGCTGCCCTCGAGCCCGGTCCTTCTGACGACGGCGCCATCGGCGGGAACGAAGACCCTGGGCGTGGCGGCGTGAGTGTTGCCGTCCGGTCGGGGGACAGAGAGGGCTTTGCGACTGGAGGAAAGCACGGCGACTCTCCCCGCCAAGATCAGGCCGCAACTTCGACGTCCGTGGCAGAGGCAAAGCAGCAGCATCTGACGCTGCCCCACCCGCCCGTGGTCGAAATATCTGCTGCAGTGATAGATAAGGAGAAGGATGCTGCGCACGATTGCACGGAGGGGCCGAAACACGACATTGCCGACGTAGGTGGATCTCCTCCCTCTGGGGGACGCGGGAGGCGTAGGCAGAGGAAGAGCGATGGTGAGGAGGAGAATGACACCCCCGTGGCTGAGGACATGCCCATACGCGCGAAGAGGAGGCAGACGACAGCCAGCGGTGACGACGCCGGTGGTGCTGAAGTTGGGACAATGCGAGGCACCACGGCGCCAAGTGGCTTGGCGGCAGATCATGCAATGCGGCATAAGGTGGGATCCGGTCCGAGGAAACCATCTAGCGGACGGAGGGGGAAGCAATCTTCGGGGGGGAATAGGCCGAAGCGCGGCAAAGAAGGCCCTGGTGAAGCGGATGTTGAGGACGAGGGGGATGGGGAGGAGGAGGCCGAGGAGGATGCGGAGGAGGAGGACGAGGATGCAGGGGAGGGAGAAAAGGACGAGGATGAGCAGGAGGGCGACGATGATGATGAGGAGGAGGAGGAGGAGGAGGAGGAGGAGGAGGAGGATGAGGATGAGGACGATGAGGAGGACGATGAGGGGGACGACGAGGATGAGGAGCAGGAGGAGGAGGAGGAGGATGAGGAGGAGGAGGAGGAGGAGGAGGAGGAGGAGCAGGAGGAGGAGGAGGAGGAGGAAGAGGAGGAGGAGGATGATGAGGAGGAGGATGAGGAGGAGGAGGACGACGAGGAGGAAGAGGAGGTGGAGGAAGGGGCGGATGAGGAGGAGGAGGAGGAGGAGCCGGCAGGGAAAGGACGGGGCGCGCGAGGCGGACGGGGGAGTGGCACAGGGAATGTGGGGGGCCGGTCTGGACAATCCCGGAAACGCGGGGCGGGTGACGCAATGCGTGCCGGACCAGCGGGCAAATCGAAGGCGCGTAAGGTGAAGGTTGAACTTGACCGGGGTGGAAGGAAGCAAGTGAGACAGGGAGCTAAAGGCGATGGAGACGGAAAGGGACCGCGCGCGAAAGGGGTACCTGTGGGTTCGGCAAAGAAAGAACCTGCCCGTAAACGAGGCAGCACCCGCCAAAGCACACCGTGGAAACGGGGCAACGATAAGGAGCAGGCAGCAAAACCGAAGGGACAGCAACGTGGTAAGCAACGTGTCACAAACGACTGGCATAGCTGCCGCGGTTTGTGCTGAACAGACCCTAACAACACCGTGTTCCACCCGTCTTTTCCCGCCGCAGGGAAGGAGAAGGTTGACGAATCGGCTAACCCGGGTAAGGCGTGACTATACACTACAGTTCCGTGCTACACCCATGTTAGAATCATGCGGTTGCTCGTCATGTTTGCACGTGTCCAAATGCACCTTACAGACACCAGCTCCGTGCTCATCCTCCGTGTGACTCTCAGCCCCCCGTGTTACAGGCATTGGGCCACCGGTAACCGTGCAACGGATGCAGCTAGCGAAAGGGGCCGGAAGAGCGAGTGTGGCACCGCTATCCACAGGAGGACCAAGGTTCTTCACGCCATACTCCGGCCCGAGCAAAGTCGCTGCGACTGCACCCGGCGCGGCAACAGGCGAGGAATCCGAATCCCCTCCACCAGCCCCCGTCACGCACTCCCCACTCGCCTCTCCCTCATACCCATTTCGGCCACTACACGCTTCTCCAGCCCGGGGCAGGGCGGTCTCCCCCCTCGCCGGTCCATCGCGTGTGCATCAACCAAGCACCTTTGCCAATCCCTTCCCTGAGCTTCCCTTTTCCCGCCAGCGTGATAGTGTGAGGGCACACGGTGCTGCTGTAGAAGACATTGATCCCCTTGGCCAGAGAGGGGTTTCTACACACCCTTTTCCGGATGTCATGGATGCGCTGGCGGAAGGTGCAGAGCACGGGCAGTTTGTTACACGAGACGAGTTCCAGCAGCTACGGTCTGAGATGTACGCCATGTTTGCTCAGCTCGGCCTGCGTCGGGGAGCAACTGCCAGCTATGCCGGGGGGGCCGCAGTGGTGCCGATGGGTGGTACCCCGCCGCCGATGAGTGCCGTGGACAAGGCACGTGTGCTTGTGCTGCAGGAGACCAACCCATTCCCGGTATGTGGCGGGTTGGGGTTGACGTGGCAACCAGGGCAGGGTTGGGAATGACCTGGCGGTTGGAAAGGGTGCGCGGGAGCGGTGCAGGGCGACACGTGACTCCACACGTGGGCGGGGGCTGACGTGGCTCTTTCGGATCTCTGTGTGCGACGTGGCAAGTGGGTTGGGTTGGTGGGTCTAGACGGCGGACGCAAGAGGGTGTGACGTGGCGGGATGTGTGGCTTGGTGCTGACGTGGCACCTTGGAAGGGCACACGGGAGCGGCGCTCAACGAGGCGCCGCGTGTCAGGTGGGTGGGGTGTGACGTGGCATGGGGTGGGCGGGTGTGACGTGGCACGTGGGGCTGGCTGCTACCTGACGTGGCGGATGCAGGAGGGTGTGCCGTGGCGGGATGTGTGGCTTGGTGCTGACGTGGCGGCTTGGAAGGGTACACGGGAGCGGCGCGTGACGATGCTACACGTGTGCGGTGGGTGGCTTGGTGACGTGGCATGGGGTGGGCGGGTATGACGTGGCACGTGGAGCTGGCTGATCCCTGACGTGGCGGACGCAAGGGCGTGTGACGTGGCGGGATGTGTGGCTTGGTGCTGACGTGGCGGCTTGGAAGGGCACAAGGGAGCGGCGCTCAACGAGGCGACGCGTGTCAGGTGGGTGGGGGGTGACGTGGCATGGGGTGGGCGGGTGTGACGTGTCACGTGGGGCTGGCTGCTCCCTGACGTGGCGGATGCAGGAGGGTGTGCAGTGGCGGGATGTGTGGCTTGGTGCTGACGTGGCGGCTTGGAAGGGTACACGGGAGCGGCGCGTGACGACGCTACACGTGTGCGGTGGGTGGCTTGGTGACGTGGCATGGGGTGGGCGGGTATGACGTGGCACGTGGGGCTGGCTGATCCCTGACGTGGCGGACGCAAGGGCGTGTGACGTGGCGGGATGTGTGGCTTGGTGCTGACGTGGCGGCTTGGAAGGGCACAAGGGAGCGGCGCTCAACGAGGCGACGCGTGTCAGGTGAGTGGGGGGTGACGTGGCATGGGGTGGGCGGGTGTGACGTGTCACGTGGGGCTGGCTGCTCCCTGACGTGGCGGATGCAGGAGGGTGTGCCGTGGCGGGATGTGTGGCTTGGTGCTGACGTGGCGGCTTGGTAGGGTACACGGGAGCGGCGCGTGACGACGCTACACGTGTCAGGTGGGTGGGGTGTGACGTGGCATGGGGAGGGTGGGTGTGACGTGTCACGTGGGGCTGGCTGATCCCTGACGTGGCAGACGCAAGGGCGTGTGACGTGGCGGGATGTGTGGCTTGGTGCTGACGTGGCGGCTTGGAAGGGTACACGGGAGCGGCGCGTGACGACGCTACACGTGTCAGGTGGGTGGGGGTGACGTGGCATGGGGAGGGTGGGTGTGACGTGTCACGTGGGGAGGGTCGTTGGTGGATTTGGCGGATGCAGGAGGGTGAGTGGGGGGTGACGTGGCATGGGGTGGGTGGATGTGACGTGGCAAGTGGGGCTGGTTCCTCCCTGACGTGGCGGACGCGGGAGGGTTGGTCCCGCGGCCAGAGTCATAATTGATGGTTTCTCTCTCCCCGTGTCGTGTTGTAAATCCACACCCATGCGCAGAGCAAAGCCTACTTAGTGTGCTCTCAGCTCCTGTTTCTGAACCCCCCGGAGAAGATTCAGTATTACCCTGCACCGGAGGAAGTGTTCGAGGCGTTCGCTGTCCACTTGTCTCACGAAGGGCTAGAGTCAATGAAGCTGCTGTGGTTGCACAATGACAAGTCAACCATGGGTGTCTTCAACCACCAGATGTCATCAACCAGGTCAACAATCAACAGCACCCTCAGGCCAGCAACGTACGCCGGCATGGGTCTCTCCGATTACGCCAATGCGGTGGATAGCCTGCCCACTGAGCTACGCCCGGAGAAGTGGTTCAACGACGAGCAGCTCCTGGCCGAGTACAGAGATGGTATGTGCGTCTCAAACACACCATATCCCCCTGCCCATAAGCCAGTCAGCAGCTACAAATAACCGTGCCGTGGTACTCTGACCCTGTCTCTCACCCCCCCACTTGATCTATCTGCACCCCCTTTCCAACCCATACGCTCCCTCCCAAAATGCAGAACAGTGGACCCTCAACTGGCACTTTAACAAGGCCACCGGAACGCCCTTCAGCAACCCCTTGTTTGCTTATGCGTTCAAGCTCTCCTTCAAGAGGAGCGGGGTCGTGTTCACCAAGTTCAAGAGCCGCATGGTGGCATGGGGCCTGTTTTCGGTAAGGAGGTAGATAAGTGACACTACACCCATGCCTCATCCCCTAAACCCCTCGCCTGTACTTCATCTAAAACCCAGGTCGCTTAGGCGTTTGCGTTACGTAGGGTGTGATGTCTTCACTGCTTTCAGTTGGATCATATGCCCATAACCTCCCCTCATACACCATCCACCCAACCCTACACCACATTGCAGATCGAGTGGCCCCTTCTGCAGGACAAGCGCCGCAAGCGTATTCCGGCCCAGCCGGAACAAAACAGGCCGGACTACTTCGAGTGGTGTGACAAGGTCAAACAGATGATACACTTTGCCGTTGTGGAGCGACGCATCCCACACAATCCGACTCAGGGTGCGTTCGTCTTCCCGAACAAGTTCCTCATCGACGATGGCGACCTTGGAGATGTTGTTCTTGCCTACCGGGGGCTTGCAGGGCCCACCATTGCGTAGACTATTTGACTGGGTGTTAAAACTGCTGGTTGTTAGAATGCTGAATAATGGAAGCTGTAACCCGCGAATATTGAATGTAATTCTGAAATCCTCAATTCCCAGAATAAAACAAAAACAAAATCCATTTTTAAATGATTTGGTCACAAAACTGACCCTAAACGGATTGCGCGCGAATGTCAGCCGGAACAGCACGCGTGCCAAATTGGAACTTGACCCGAGCCAAGCCTTGTCGCGAGATGTGTGTCGGAGCTCCTATCAAATGACTCAAACAGTCGGTCGAAATTCGGTCCCGAATTTTTTACGCGAAGACAATCCCAATCAAAATTCGTCCAAACTTGGCATAGGGTTTTTGTGATGTAGCGGACACGCGAGTACCTGGAGCGGCAGACGCACTAGTCCTAATGCCCGGGTCGGGCGGGACACTCAGGTACTCAGCACCCTCTCCACTAGTAGACATCACATACATGGCAGTGAGAATAGCATCAAAGTCTAGAGCATAAATATCAATCCCCTTCTTCAGGAGATCAACCCAGCAGGGCAGCTCAGTGGCCTGAGGGAACTGAACACGCCAAGCGTCGTTCAGACGAGCGAAGCAACGCTGTGTGGCGTGCGGTCCCCCACACGGCTGGCCAGTGCGGTCACCAGTGCGAATGACGTACGTGCAGCTAAGGCCACCCCCCCCCCCCCCCCGTGCTGAGAGTACCACTCACAGACCTCCTGGGGCGACGGAGTGTGCTGCTGGCCCTGGCCACCGCCAGTGCCTCCACGACCACCACCGCCGCTACCACCTCCTCGACCACCCTAACCCCGGCCGCTGCCTCGTCCACTGCCACCCCCACCACCTCCTCCGCCCCGGCCACCTCCCCCGCCGCTGCCGCCACCCCCCCCACTGCTGCCACCTCCCCCACCCACGCCACCCCCCCCCGCCACCACCACCTCCCCCACCACCGCCACCCCCGCTTTCACCACCACCGCCCTTGCCCCCCTTGCCCTTGCCGCTGCGGCACCCACTCGAAGCAGACGCAGTCCCGACCTTCTCAGCACCAAGGAGGTCGACAGCAGCAGCAGAGGCGACAGAGGGAAGAAGGGGGGAGGGAGAACACCCCTCAAAGAACGGGGTACGGGGGTCACCGCGAGAGGCACCTACAGCGACTATGCTAGCCTCAGCTGCAAGCAGTTCCTTCTCAGGGAGGGCAATGGTGAGCTCGGTGGGGCAGCGAGCTAGGAAGTGGTCCCTGACTGAGCGCAGAGTGTCAGGGAGGCGCGTGACTAGGTGGTAGAGAGTGAGCCAGAGCGGGGGTCGGTTCTTGGCAAGGAACTCATCAGGCATAGCAGCGCGGAAGCGAGCCTCACTAGTGCGGAGGTGGGTAATGAGATCAGCGACAGTGTGGAAGGAAGCTAGGTCGGGGAACAGGTAGGGAAGAGAGAGACGGCCTAGAGCGGCAGAGGCCGGCGAGGAGTAGCGGGCAACGACAGCAGTGTACAGTGCCTGTGCAGTCTTGTGCTGCCCAAAGTGCTCGCGCTCATCTATCGGCAGAGAGTTGCGAATAGCGAAGCGAGTATGGGCGTCACGAGTCTGCCACTGTGAGCGTGCAGTGCTGTCAGCAGTAGCAGCAGGAGCAGTAGCGTGGCCTAAGGCATGATCGTACAGCGAGATGTCTTCCTTGGCAGTGAGCTGTAGGAAGAGGTGTAGGTCATCAAGCCAGGTGTCGAACTTCACTGGGCGGCCCTCAGTATCGAAGGCTAGGACAGGAGGGCTAGCCATGGTAGCAGCAGTAGGAAAAGCAGTAGGAGCAGTAGGGTAGGTAGGGCGGCGCGGCTCGGTACAGGTAGGGCGGCGCGGCTCGGTATAGGTAGGGCGGCGCGGCTCGGTTCGGGCGGCTCGGGTCGGTTAGGGCTGGTGGCTCGGGTCGGGCGGCTCGGTTCCGTTAGGGCTGGGCGGCTCGGGTCGGCTCGGTTCGGGCTGCTCGGTCTGGGTGGGGCCGTTCGGGGCCGCTAAGGGCGAGCGTGGGGAGCGGGTGGGGCCGTGAGGGACGAGCGCGGGGCCGACGTGGGTGCTAAGGGCGAGCGCGGGGTCGACGTGGGTGCTAAGGGCGAGTGCGGGGCCTATCGGGGCCGTGAGGGACGAGCGCGGGGCCGATCGGGGCCGTAAGGGACGAGCGCGGGGCCGACGCGGGCCTCTAAGGGCGAGCGCGGGGCCTATCGGGGCTGTGAGGGACGAGCGCGGGGCCGATCGGGGCCGGTAAGGACGAGCGCGGGGCCGAGTCGGGCCTCTAGGGGTAAGCGCGGGGCCAATTCGGGGCCTCTAATAGCGAGCGCGGGGCCGACCGAGGCCTCTAGGTGCGAGAGCGCGGGGCCGACGGGGCCTCTAGGGGCGTGAAAACCGAGGCGCCCTAGGGCGCAGGTAGGTAGGTAGGTAGTGGTGGGCCCCAAAAAAAAATCGGTCCTAGGAAGGACCCGCTCTATACCATGTTGAACAAGAATGAATGAACTAAGAGTGAAATGAGTACAAGTATCAAAAACTAGGAATGTTTACCCCCTATAGGCTAACCCACTGTAGCCTAAACAACTACAACAACATATATAATGTTTGACAACGCAGACGCACTAGCACCTAGAGCAGCAGCCTCACCAGCACCTGGGGTAGCAGACACTCTAGCACCTAGAGCGGTAGCCTCACCAGGTCGAATGCCCGGGTCGGTCGGAACACTCAGGTACTGGGCACCCTCTCCACTAATAGACATCACATACATGGCAGAGAGAATAGCATCAAAGTCTAGAGCAAAGATATCAATGTTTTGTTTCATCA